TTTCCTTTTTTTCCAATGTAAGTATATTTCAGAATTCATTCATAAAATATGTAGCAAGAATAAGAAAAAAACATAAATGCAAACTTATATTTATTGTCTCCCTCTTGATATACATCTCAAAAACAATTCTTGGGTCTGGCCATGCTTGCCCATATCCGCCATCCATATAACCACGAATAAAAAGTTAGAAAATAAAACCAATAAAAAAATAATAATAAAAATAAAAACCGTGTGAGCGACAAGGTGGCCATGCTACACACATGTACTATGCCGTGTGCTGCCCTCAGCAGGTTTCCATGGGGTATATATCAACTATCTTACATCAAGGAAATAGAGCCTTTGTTGTCTTAAAGACAGGCTCCGACAGTCCTCTTGGCATTTTTCTCTTTTTTTTTTCTTTTTTTGTTGTTATTTTTGTGTAAGGGGAGACTCCTACATAATGATCCACGGGCCCAGCAAATCACAGCAGTATGCTTGAGCAAAACCAGCTGTCTCACACACAGCGTCTGGTAGTACGATGTTTCTTTACATAAGAAATATGATTATATGGTAATTGAGATTTGAGTGTCTTACACCTATGCTACATTACGTGCTGTCACATCATCCAAAAAACAACTGTTTTACTACATTTGTTACTTGATTGGCTTCCTCATTCCTACCTTGATATATCATTATTGTTAAGGCTATTATTCAATATAATGATAAATAATATAAAAAGGACAATAATAAAAGCAATGACAATGACAGTGATAATCATAAAAATAGTACATTCATATTGGGTTAATTCATTAATTACGTTGACCATTCCTTCTATATTTCACTAATAGGTATCGATAGGAATTTACTAATAAATCTGATGAACTAGGAAATACCAACATCTTTACCTATTATTAGTATTTCTATGAATGAGGAAAAATTCAACAAAGACAATTCATACTACTAAACTGTCTGTTTCTTTGATTTGAGAAAGACAATATTAATCAAGGCAAAATAATTCCATATATCTCAGTGACCTGAACTCAGGTTCTGAACTCCAATGCCAGGGTATCATAAAAATTATTTTCATTTTAATTAAGTGAGGACAGTAATAATAACATCATTAATAAAGTATGCAAGATTATTTTGGATGAAATATATAAAATCAGAATCATTTGAAACATGATTGGAAAGTAAAAGTCTGTTACATTTCCTCTGAGTATATTTTTCATCTCAATAACAAACTATTGTGGAAAATTAAATATTCACGTGCATTTCTTCGCACTTCACAGAAAAAACATATTGCACAATACAAATAAGTTTTAAATCCAATGAAAATTATTTCAAACCCAAACCCTTTTGGGAACTGAAAAAAGAGAAAATGAAATCTCTTTATAACATATATTTTTTTATCAACTTTCAACACTGATACAGCACCTAATAACAATTTAGCTATAATCAATAAGCTTTCGTACCACTAATAAATATTTTACTCCTTTGCAAAGTAATAGTTTTCATTTCCATTATCAAATGTCTAAAGTGTATCTCCTGAACCTCACATGTAACATGTACATGAATTCCAAAAAATGGACATGCTAACAGGTAGGCTAATAATAAATACAATATTTAAAGCAATAATTTCTTGTCCATATCTTAATCCATTATATTATTTTTTTATGCAATATCATGAGTCAGCAAAACATAAATATCTGATATCATAATTGACTCACTCAAAAAACATGATACATTCACAAAATACATACTTCAACTATGAATATTAAAGGTGGTGATAACATTTGGTCATAAATAAGTGGCTATCATTATAAAAGGTAACAATTTGCAAAGGGCTTTAAAGATTCTTCTTAAGGTATGTACATACCATTCAGAGAAACTTTATTGCTTGACAGGCTATTGAAAAAATGCATACTAAAATGCTGTCTTTTGGAGTAGTTCAAGTTTGGTGCTGCAAGACCTTACACTGCAGAAAATTAGTCAGAGCTGGTTCAATGCTCTTCACACTGAGACAGATTGATATTTTGAACATATAGAAGAAAGGCAGATCTCTGATAGCCTTGGTTACCATCCCCTGCAAGGGACATTACTTCCCTGTAACAGAAGTACTTGACCTGCCGTACACTGGGCACCATTCTTCGCTTTGCCACCAGTATGATTAAATATATAGATAAGTGCACACAAGAAGTGCTTATATATTCATCTATCACCTGTGTGCATGTATAACTATGCAATACAAATACAAGTAAAAAACAAATCTACAAGCAGTCATATATTCATGCACACAAATACATGCTCAAAGAAACAAAAATGTATGCAATCATGTATGCACACATGCCCACACATTCATAGACACAAAAACAGACATATACATATATACACTTACACACGCATTTACAAACACAAACATACATACATACATTAACACACACACACACACACACACTCATTCACATACCTACGCACTTACACCCCCCCACACATAAACACATGCTCACGCACGCGCACACAC